AGCAGTATCAACCTGTATTTTCAATTTTCAACAGTGTGCTGGCTTGGTCAAGAACCAGCCAAACGAATGACAGCACAGATCATCCTGTCTACTTTGGGAAGGGATGTTTTAAACTCTATTAAGGTGGTGCAAAGAATGTGGTAGGAAAAAAACATAAACAGTAATAAATTTTAAGAACATTCTGTAGAAGCATTTTCGCTTCTGGGAATGGGAAACTAATATTTCCCCAAGAGGCTTCATTATTAAAGCCATAAATAAAACATCCCTGATTGGACTGCTTGGATGCTTTTCTTGTGTGGCCTTGCTCTGGTGAAGTGGCTCAGAATTTGAGGCAGACACGTCCAGGGGAAGCTGGGGAGGCGAGTGAATTCGACAGCATTGGGCCTCCTCCTCTTCAGCACGTTGGCTGCACACCAGACGAGTGAGTGCAGGGACAATGAGTGCATTTTGCTGTATTGAAGACCACCAGAGAGGGTTAGCATAAAATTCAAGGATGATTTTTCTAGCTGATGCCCCGCTACCTTTCTTCTTTCCATAAACATACGCTCTCTCCTCTAGAAGTAAAAGCAAGTAGTATGGTGCAAGGACTACTAGCTTCGTTGCCTAACAGGGCTGCTGCTTATTAGGCCCAGTAACCATGATTACTTAACTTCTCTGCGTGTCAGTCCCCTGTATAGAGGTGGGCTTAGAGGGATAAGTGTTGAATCCTAAATATCCTATGTGCTCACAGTGTTCACCATAGTGAGTTCCAATCAATCAGTAAAAAGACAAGTGACACTTGCTGAGGCCCATTTGTGCTGGGCACTTTATGGCTGTCATTATATTTGACCTCACAGTAACTTATGTGGTTGCTGGTATTCCCTATTTACAGATGATGGAAATGAAACCTCATAATTGCAGCGACTTTCTCAAAGTGAAGATTGTGTAAACGTGCAGCGAGGCTTCAAATCCATCTGTGCAACCCCAAAGCCAAGGTTCTTTCCACTTGACTGTGTTGATTTCTGAGCTCATGAGCTCGGGATAAATCATTATTTTAATTGAAAATAAATATAACTCGCTGGGCACGGTGGCTCACGCCTATAATCCCAGCACTTTGGGAGGCTGAAGCGGGCAGATCACCTGAGGTCAGGAGTTCGAGACCAGCCTGACCAACATGGAGAAACCCTGTCTCTACTAAAAATACAAAATTAGCCAGGCATGGTGGCACATGCCTATAATCCCAGCTACTTGGGAGGCTAAGGCACGAGAATTGCATGAACCAGGGAGGTGGAGGTTGCGGTGACCCAAGATCGTGCCATTGCACTCTAGCCTGGGCAACAAGAGCAAAACTCAGTCTCAAAAAATGTACATATAATTATTTATCATTGGGAATTACAGTTACCTTATATGCAACATGAACTTTGAATCCTTGGCTTGTTCCAAGCTGCCCTGCAGAATTACCTCTGAATGGCTCCATGGAGATGTTATCATGTGTTAGAATACCTTAGTCACTTTCACGTGGGCAAGGGTTTCGATTTTTTTTTTTTTAATCTTTTAAAATCATTCTGAGCAAGTGAAAACATTTTTTCCCCTCAAAAGAAATGTAAGGCTGGGGATGGTGGCACATGCCTGTAATCCCAGCACTTTGGGAGGCCGAGGAGGGTGGCTCACTGGAGGCCAGGAGTTCGAGAGGCCAGGAGGTGGAGGCTGCAGTGAGCCTTGATCGTGCCACTGCACTCCTGCCTGTGCAACCAGAGAGCCTGCCTCCAAAAAAGAAAAAGAAGAAATATAAAAGCATAGTGCCACAATCAAAAGGGCTGAACTCCTATAAAATAAAGGTATAATACAACCCAACCATCCCTCAGTTCTAAGCTCTGTGTTTCCAGTGCTTGAAAGGCCAGGATTTCCATTTTATATGTTTAAAAAAAAAAAAAAAAGAATAAAACATGAGCGAACAAAATAGCCATGACATTTTGGGTGTGCGCTCAGATCTGCCAGGAAGTTTCCTTCTGGTAGATGTTCATGGCAGGCTGGGGCCACAGATAGGGTGTGGGCTTCACAGAATCAGAACAAGAGTGAAAATCCTCGCTTTTCCACAGGCATGCTATCATACTTCTTGAACCTCAGTTTCTTCTTCTGTGAAATGGGGGGATTATTGTGTGAACTAAACAAATAATGTGCATAAAGAACAAATATAATATTCTTCATCCCACTCTCAATTCAAAATAGACTTGTGCCATGTGTGATAACAATCATCTTCTTCTTGAATACTTTGTGCCCGACACTGGGCTGAGCCTTTTCTACAGATTATCTAAGGGAAATCAGTAATTGAGCTCAGTTGCTCTAGCTCCAGAGCCTACCCTGTGCCCTGCTCTAGGACATGAGCCACTTATTGGCTTCAGATGAAAGGCTTTGAGCAATTGCTTCAGCAGAAAGCAGGTGCCTGTCAGGGTCCAGTGGTCCCGTGTGAGGGTCCTGGCTGATGTGGCAAGTGACTTGGCCCAAAGTGGGGAGGCCCTTGCATAATCCCTCATCCTCTCACACTGCAAAATTAGTACCACAGCTTTCTGCTCCCTTGGTTTCCCTACTAGACTAGGCATATAATAGATGTCTGAAAAAAATGCTTGTAGGGTAAATAAATGCAAATAAACTGAACCATTTCCCTATGCAGGAAGCATTTTATGCTTAACTTCTTCATTCTCCTCTTAAACATACTGACATGGTTAAACAGATTTTTTTTTAAAAGCTGTTATTTCTCCGCCATCCAATTCAAGGCCCATCGGGCATTTATTCAGCACCTATTATTAATGTAGACGGCCAAGGATTACATATGTAATCCATTAGAGAGTATTAAAAACAACAACAAAGCCTAGTGTAAAAATATTGAGCTATGAAATACATAATACTTTCCAGGTAGCATTGACTTTTGTAGCTGTTTTGTTTATGTGAATTTTCTAATTTGCATTCCCTGAGCTCTTATTAAGCAGTCAGGGTGGGCAGACTGGGAAAGTGTCGTGTGAAGTAACATCAGAATTAACATGGCAACATGCCAAAACCGCAGCTCTACAAAAAAATACAAAAATTAGCTGGGTGTGGTGGTGTGCACCTGTGGTCCCAGCTACTTGGGAGGCTGAGGCAGGAAGATCACTTGAGCCCAGGAGGTGGAGGCTGCAGTTAACAGAGATTGCAGCACTGCACTCCACCCTGGGTGACAGAGCCGGACCCTATCTCGAAGAAAAAAAAAGACTTAACAACGCTAAAATTTGGAATATGGTTTAGTAATGAGACCTTACAAGACCTCAACTTCATTATCTACAAAATGGGGATAGTGTCCTCTCCCCTCCCTTTCTCCCAGGAGGGAAATAAGAGCTTGAAAGAATGAGGACCCAAAGCTGGCTTGAGATTGGTTGTCTCAAGCACATTCTTTTTTCTCTCGTCCTTCTCTGCAAAAGGCAAACAAGAATGAAATGGTAACAGGCACATCCACTGAAGCAAAACAGGTCACTGGAAGAAGATAATATACTGAAGGACAAATAAAAGTCAACTGTAGCTGTGCCCAGAATGGGTAGTTGAAAATATGTGGGAGGGAGAGAAGGCATGTCCTTTTTTATAAAAGATCTTTTTTTTTTTTAAGACGGGGTCTCATTCTGTCACCCAGGCTGGCGTCTGGTGGCACAATTGCACCTCACTGCAGCCTCAACTTTCTGGGATCAAGCAATCCTCCCACCTCAGCCTCCCGCACCACCATGCCTGGCTAATTTTTTTATATAGATGGGGTCTCACTATGTTGCCCCAGCTGGTCTTAAAACTCCTGGACTCAAGCCATCCTTCTGCCTTGGCCTCCCAAAGTGCTGGGATTATGAGCATGAGCCACAGTGCCTGGCCATAGAAAGGCTTTAAAAATATTAGCAATGTGAAACATGCACACTTGTGTGGTTTTAGTATCTTCTTTGCCATTCTGGCTGCCTGTAAAAGATGGGTACTCCATAAGATATGGAAGCAAGCTTTTGAAAAGGTACTTTAAGATACAGTATAAAATGATAAGCTGGGCGCGGTGGCTCACACCTGTAATCCCAGCACTTTGGGAGGCCGACTTGGGCAGATCACTTGAGATTAGGAGTTCGAGACCAGCCTGGCCAATATGGCAAAATCCCATCTCTACTACAAATACAAAAATTAGTCGGGCATGGTGGCACGCACCTATAATCCTAGCTACTCAGGAGGCTGAGTCAGGAGAATCACTTGAACCCAGGAGGAGGAAGTTGCAGTGAGCTGAGATTGTGCCACTGCGCTCCAGCCTGCACGACAGAGTCTCAAAAGAATAAAAATGAAAATAAAAAATAAAATGATGATGCCGAGACAAAATTGTTCAGCTTATGTTAAATGAAGGCACCAGCTCACAAAATTTACTTAACAACAACTGGATATACAAGACAATGTGTGCATATGGATCAGACTGGAGGAAGAGTACTTGGCAAACAAAAACAGCTTACTTATTAGGATGATAGAACTGCCTTGCCCAGTGCCTGGAATCAAACACATGTTTACCAAATATGTGTTGATAATAAAAATAAAAATAAAATAATAAAAATGAGAAAATCTGATATGCCATATAACTGTGAATACTGGTCTCTGTTAGCCAATCATTCAGAGATAATACCACCCCTTTTTGACATAATTTTGTTGTTTTACTTCTTTTTTCCCCCTTTACTTCATGCAATACTATTTCCAAAGAAATTGGTGTCATCAGAAAAGTCTGCAGAGTCTATGAATATGGGGCTTAGTACACAGAACTGGATAAAGGTCACTCATGCATTTCTGATATCTAAAGCCAGGAGAAGCATTTGCAGATAGGCATGAGACCGGCTGTTTATTCATTAGTTGGCTGACTGTCCTTGGGAAAAACAAGCCCTTAGGATCTCAGACAGATCTGTGACTGGGTTTAGATAGGCCTTTAAATACTTTAATATGAAATGTCAAGATCAAACACACTGGGTCAACGAAGACAGATGAGCTCTTCAAAGAGTTAATATTTGAAAACTTTTATTTTCTCAAATGAGCACCAACACAGATTGGAAATATGACAGAAACAATGCACTTTAATACTGAATCACTATGTACAAATACGGGAAAAGGTGAAGACAAATTATTTGAAAACAATTACCTTTGTTATAGAAGCATAGTGACCTGAAAAATGCCACCAAAGAAAATAAAAACCCAAACCCAACAAACACAGTTTGTAAACACAAGCATAAATAGACAGATTCTGTATTGGAAGATAGTCTCTGCAGGTTGGGTAAGGGACCGACTCCCACTGTCACCAAAATGTTATACAAAAACATATGGGCGGATAGAATTTGGTAACATGAGAATAGCTTTCAGTTTCTTCTTGGCTTTACCTTTTACTGCCAGTAGATTTCATAACTATTTTAATTTAAAAAAATTAAATATCTCTTTCCTCTATCTAGACAACTAGTATATTTTCTCATTTGAGGCAGATTCCTTTAAAATATGTAAGTTGATTGTGTTCAAGATTTGATTTCTCAGCCTCTTTCTGAACCTGAGGCAATCTGACCTTAAAAAAAAAAAGCTGTTTATCACTAAGATATGTGTATTATTTTATTAATGTTCTTTTAATCCAAACCAGTTAATGTTTAACATGATGTGGCTTCTAAAACCGCTGGAGCCCTGCGATACGTGATTAATACACTCTCATCTCAGTTAGAAGCACAGATTTGACTGTGCTCCATCATCACAAACAACAGATCTCCTTTACAGTCTGGAAAAGCTGAGCACACAAAGCAAGAAAAAGGAGCAAACCTGCAACAGCTCCATGCTCAGGAAAACAGAAAATCCTCGTGGGTTCTGCTGTTGGTCCACTCAAAAACAGAAACAACCAGAGAAAAAGAGAAGAAAAACTGTATGCGCCCGAAGTGTAAACTGTAGTTACAGTGTCCCCACTCGAGAAAACAGGAGGCACAATTGAAAGTGCTTTTTACACACACGCGCGCGCACACACGCACAACCAAAAACGTGATTCTGATTTGCTGGAAATTCTTCCAACAGGAAGAATCACTGTAAGTTGTTACTACTAAATTAACTTGGTTTTATTTATTTTCTTTTCTAGTCAATACTGATGCAAGAAAATATTTCAATTCTCAACCTGATTAATGTACTGCAGAGTCTGTTCCACTGGGGAAAAAATGCAGAGAGGCATTGCTTTAAAGCCTTGATCCAGATTAGTGATAGAGACCTTAAAAAAAAAAAAAAACAAAATAAAAAACCGAAAACGTGTATTGGTGATCACTGTTTCCCTTAAAATATACTTCATGAAATGCAAAGGAAACCATAAAATTTAAAATGAAAATAAAAAGTGCTCTCAGGGGATCTGAGAAAACAGCACCAAATATATTATTTAAAAAATTAAATATTATTTACAAAAGTATATTTTACAAGCAACTGTTTCTTTTATATATATCCACTTGAAAATCTCTTTCTAAAGGGTCATCTCTTTTGCACACACTGATCCACCAGTAAAAATGCACTCTAGCCTATCCTCGTGAACTCAGGAAGAACACTCAGTCAGGTCCAGCTGACAGCTTGCGGGTATCGAGTTTGGCTGTATTTGATTCATGTCAAATCAATCCATCAGCAGCCTGAGACTAATGTCCCGGGTCCCGAGGGGTCTGGGTCTACTCCAGGGTGGCCAAGGTCATATGACCTAGGGTGGCACAGGGGAGATGGAGCTAGAGAGTCTGCTGGCTGGACTTCAGTTCCAAACGAAGGCAGCTGCTGGCTGAGGTATAGAACTTCATGCTTTTCCCTTTCTCAAGTCTCCTTACTCCGTCTCCACTCCCCACACCCCGCCCCCAGACTTCACCAACAAACTCCAATTCCCCCAACCCACCTGGGGTGAATGAATGAGGTCTTTGGTTACGCTCTAAGTCAATAATTTGGTGAGGAAATTAAAGAATGAACTGACTGAGGCCATGAGTTAATTTAGCATCTCCATAGCTCAGCTGTGGCCTCTCCAAGGCTGCTCAATGTTAGATAGACAACCCATGAACAGAGCGAATGTTGTAAGAAGCACTTTTGGTTTCACTGACACAAAGGGAAAGCCTAATGAGTTTTTTCCCCTGTAGTTACGGAAAAACCAACACTCTACTCAGCTCTCTCACAGCAAGTACGGCGCCTTGCACCCACTGGAGGCTCACTGGATAGTCATCGAAAAAAAAAAAACACTCAGAACCAGGGTCTGACTGGAGCCTGCTCTGATCCATGCAACAGTCAAAGGCCTCATCCCCAAGGACAGTGGCACATCGGTCTTCTTCTCTGCCCCCCTGGAAACTTGAGGGCACCCCATGTCTAGCTGATGTCACCACATTCCATTTTCAGTTTGAAAGACAAAACACCTACCCCATGGTTAACCCTCATTTTCTTCCTATGGGAAAGACTATCAATAAATAGCCAGGACAATCCCTGAGGAAAGGGTCTAAGGAAAATCCATGAAGGAAGACTTTCCCTGAGGAGGGGAAGGGACAGAGGGGAAATCCATGGCTTCTGTGCCGGGAAGCCGGCTTAGGAATGTGAAAGTTGAAAAACGATTTCATTGAGAACTTGGGCCTGTGAGCCAGAGAAACTGTTCTTCTGGGAGCAGAAATTCAATATTTCTTCTGAACCTCAGTCTACCTTGCGGTAAAGTGGGAAGAACAACTTGACCTCCCAGGGCTGTGAAAGCACTGGGAAGATCTGGACAGAAGCCTTGGGGAACAAAAGTCAATTTCTAAGAATCCATTTGTCTTACAGGGGCTCTCTCCTGAGAATCCTGGAGAATCCTGGAGCTATCCTGGTTTCTGTCAGTCCTGCCACCTGCCCCTGGCAGGGCAAGCCCACACCTGTCTTGGGGCTCCCATTCCACCATCAGTGCGTGGAGACACACAAAAAACCATTTCCACCAAGGACGCGCTCCGAACAGAAATTGGTTCTGCTGCAGATGTGATTCTGAAAAGCTCCTGGGCTGTTGGCTGCTTTCATCTCAGTTCATCGCTTTACAGAGTCTCTCCATCAACTCATTCTTTTGTGAGACTTTTAGGGTGAATTTTCCGAGAGGGTCGGCCTACTTGGAGAAGGAGATGCTGAGAATTACCTAACACGCACAATAATATATTCAGTCTAGGAAATGAAACGAACCTAGTTAAGTGAGTTTCAGTCATATACTGTGGACTGGCTGAATTGCTGTAGAACAGACTTCACAGTGTTGATTAAATGTAACAAACTCCTCTTTCTCTTATGGGCCTTACAGGGATGCTCTCCACTTCCCTAATCGAAGGATGTTTGGATGTGGGGAAAGGGTAATATCGGATTTGGGCAGAACTCCTCCCTGCTGCTGGACCACATTGACAGCAGATTTCTCTCCGTGCAAGACATTCAGACCTAAGTGGGGCAATTAGGGGCATGAGGAATCTACCAGCCAGGTTATTACTAAGCTCAGAGCCTGGGGCCCATGCTTTCTACAGTCTACAGTAACAGGACTGGAGAAACACACCCGAAACTCTATGAACAAGAAATTGTCGATCCCACGGAAGCCACTGTAAAACCAAAGAGGAAAGATGGACCAAACCTGAACTGGTTCCAATCTAAACCCCTCCAGGGATTACCCCTACCCAGTCCCCTCCCTCACCACACTCCTCTTATGAGGGGTCAGAAGGAAGGGCAGTAAGAATTGCTAATTGATCCTACTTTTTATTTCGCTGGCTCAATATCTGAGCCATTTCTTCAGAGCTCCCAAACTGCAGCCCCTTTGTGCCCTGCTCTCCTCAATTACTGATTTTACTTGGTTGCTGGTCAAAGCCTTTGGGATATTTGGATGTTAAGCCCATTGCAAATGACAGTCCCCTCACACCTTATCTACGGTGCCTAAAGAGGCAAAGATGATGATTGCCCAGAGACTGAGCGAGGCACCAGGGTCATCGCACCCACCGGGCCACTGCCCAAGTCACTCACTGCTGCCAGAACACTCCCCCACTCAGCCCAGGAGCACCAGGCCCTCGCCCCGCCGACTAGAATCAGGGCCACATCTTTGTGCTCATTTGCTAACCTGGCACATTTGGTGTCAGGAACAGAAGCTTCTGGTCAGAGAGAATGCAGTCATGAGGTATTTTTTTTTCTCTTTGTCCTTTTAGTCAAGTCAATTATTTCAAGCCTAAGTTATCAGGTCTGCAGGAGCAGCGCAATTTTGTTCCTACCTCCACACCCTTCCACCCCTTCCCCGCGCCAGGACCCTTAACAGTTTCCCCTTTCCCTCTTCCTCACGCCCCCATGCCACTGCTCTCCTGACAAGAGGCCGTCAGGCAGCTCTCGCACGGGCCCTGGGGCCCTTACCAAGGTGGGCTGCCGCCATGCGGTCAAGGATCTGTTCCTTTTGTTGTTTTGTTTTCAGCCAAAACTAGAACAGAGAGAGAAGCCAGGATCAACTCACAAACAGATACAAAGCAAAGAGACAGAGAGACAGCGATTTAGAGGCTGGTCACCAGAAAGATGGCGTCAGGGTGGGAGGATGCCCCAGATGGCAAGGCCCCTAAATGGATGGAACCAAGTGTCAGTCACTCTCTCACGCTTGGGAAGAATGTTCAGTTGAATGGCGTTCACGTGGACACTGGGTTGGGTAGATGCTGTCCAATCAGTCCCAGCCATTGTCCTTGATCATGTGTGCTAGTTCAATGATGTATTTGCCTTCTTTATATTTCTGGCTGCTTTCAAAAGCATGTTCCTAGGAAATACAGAGGAAGAGAAGAGATACTGAACAACCGAAGACAAGAAAATGATTTTTTTTTTTTGAGGCGGAGTCTCACTCTGTCACCCAGGCTGGAGTGCAATGACACAATCTCAGCTCACTGCAACCTCCGCCTCCCAGGTTCGAGCGATTCTCTTGCCTCAGCCTCCCAAGCAGATAGGATAACAGGCACCCACCACCATGCCTGGCTAATTTTTGTATTTTTAGTAAAGAGGGGGTTTCACCATGTTGGCCAGGCTGGTCTCTAACTCCTGAGCTCAGGTGATCCACCCACCTTGGCCTCCCTCATACCTGCTGGGATTACAGACATAAACCACTGCACCCGGCCAAGGAAATGACTTTTGTAGCAGAAAAGCAGGGGCGGATGACAGGTATCAGCATCACCGTGGTCTGGTCCCAGCTTCACCCTGACTCAGTGAGATGATTCCTACCCCTCAAGTGCTTTATGTCCCCCTCGCTTAGCTGCAGAACTGAGGCAACACCAGGACTTTCACAACATTACAACAGAATTTTCCAGGAGCTTCGCTCATTTAAGTCTTTGCAATGTCACCCCCTCAGTAAGGTCTTCCCCAACTACCCTACTTAAAATCCAACTTCCACTCCAGTACTCCCTTTCTGCCTTCTGCCCCAACCCCTGCTTTAGTTTTCTCCGCTGTACTTCTCACTTCTGAACATACATTATAATGTGCATTTCTATTTTGTTTATCCTCTGTCTCCCATGACTACAATATAAACTTCATTCTGTGCATAGACTTTCATATTTAGTTCATGGCTGTAGCCTTAGAAGACTGCCTGGCACGTAATAGAATTTCAATACATAATTGCTGAATGAATTAGTACATTTACATATATATATATAAATCTTGGTTTCTGGTGCTAACGGAAGTTTGCCCTGTGGAGAGATCCATAAAGTTTCTGTGTCATTCCTGCTAGTTTCTAAGAACACAGGAAAGCCTGGTTCTAATTTTAAATTGTACTTGTTAGGCTTAGAGATGACAGGGAGAGGAACAAAATACTCAAGAGGCCAGACAGGTCTCCTTTTCAATCAGTTTTCTTGCTGCTTCTATGTCAGATGTGTGGAGACAGGAGCTGTATAAACTCCAGGCCAGAGAACCTGGCAGCCCTCAAGCCCCACCCAACTGCCAGCCCCCCAGAGGGAGAATGTCATACTAACCACCTGGCAGGTGACTTTTCTAAACCCACAGCACTGTGGGCTCTCCCAGCGAATAAACCCCCCAGAAAGAAGTCCTGCAGAGGCAGAGGATAAAGGGCTCTTTTGTTTGCAGAGATACACGCGTAAGAACATCTTGGTGTATTCTCCGAAAAACACTGGTCATCTGTGTCTCAGCTCCATATGCACAAGCAGTGGACATCAGCCCTTCCCGGAGCCCCCAGAATTAGTAAGGAATTGAGGTGTACCCTTGGGGGTTCTGGGTGACAGTTGTATCAACTATGTTTTCTGTTCTAGAGCTCATGGGCTTTGAATTTCAGAACAAGAGCTCAGGCACACCACAGCAGCAATTTCCCTGACACTTCATTATTCCCTGTCTCTGTGCACACACACGCACACATGCGTGTATACGCACGACAGAGAAATGTGTTTTGGGAATAAGGTCCATTGTTCCACAGTAATGTGTTTGGGCGGGAAGGAGGAGAAAGCAAAACTAAGAAAATGAGTCTCCCATTACAGAAAAAAAAAATTTCGGCTGGGCGTGGTGGTTCACACCCATAATCCTAACCCTTTGAGATGAGGCAGGAAGATTGCTTGAGGCCAGTTTGAGACCAGCCTGGGGAACATGACAAAACCTCATCTCTACCAAAAAAAAAAATTCAAAAATCAGCTGGGTGTGATGTCATGCACCTGTAGTCCCAACTACTTGTGAGGCTGAGGCAGGAGGATCATCTGGGCCCAGGAGGTCGAGGCTGCCGTGAGCAAGACTGCACCACTGCACTCCAGCCTGGGGCCTGTCTCAAAAAAATAAAATAAAATAAAATAAAATAAAATAAAATAGAACTGGGAGATTCACACCTACTTCACAGAGGTAACAATGGGGTGGCTCACGCCTATAATCCCAGAACTTTGGGAGATCAAGGTGGGTGGATCACCTGAGGTCAGGAGTTTGAGACCAGCCTGACCAACATGGTGAACCCACGTGTCTACTAAAAATACAAAAAATTTAGGGCTGGGCGCAGTGGCTCATGCCTGTAATCCCAGCACTTTGAAAGGCCGAGGTGGACGGATCACAAGGTCAGGAGTTCGAGACCAGCCTGACCAACATGGTGAAACCCCGTCTCTACTAAAAATACAAAAAAATTAGCCAGGCATGGCGGCACATGCCTGTAATCCCAGCTATTCTGGGGGCTGAGGCAGGTCCTGTTTGAACCCGGGAGGTGGAGGTTGCAAGTGAGCCAAGATCACACCATTGCACTCCAGCCTGGGTGACAGAGCGAGACTCCATCTCAAAAAAAAAAAAAGGAAGGTGCCCTGGGCTTGCACATAGGAGGTGACGGATGCATATTTGGGGTCCTTGCTGTGCTGTGCACATCCCAGTGCTTGTCAGGCTGTTTGATCTGTTTTCACGTTGGTTTTCCTCCTGAGCTGCCATCATGACTGTCAGCGCTTTGAGGGCAGGCACTGAATCTTGTCAATTTTTTTGGTATTTAGTCAAAGGCTTTTGATAAACCTTTGTCAAAAGCATGAATCATTTTATCTGAACCTCAAGCATGGAGCAAAACCAACCAACTCAGGCTTGTCGTGTATCTTCAATCCAGCACATCTTCAGGGCAGTAAGACAGCCAACAGGCTGGGAAACACGGGAAGGGGAGAACTTTTCTGCACTTGATCTTAGCCAAAAGGCCGAGAAGCAATGAAGAACATTTCTGGATAATCACAAGCAGAACTGTGTCTCCCACCCCAGATCACCCAGAGGGGGCCCATGACTGTACAGAGGGAACAGAATGGCCAAGTCCAGCTTCTCCCACAGGAACAACCAAGTCAACCATAGGAAGCTGTGGCTAACCCGTCTTGGCACCACACAACACACTGTCTAGGTTTTTTTTTAAATTTTGGGACAGAGTCTCACTCTGTCGCCCAGGCTGGAGTGCAACGGCATGATCTCGGCTCAACGTAACCTCCGCCTCCTGGGTTCAAGCAATTCTCCTGCCTCAGACTCCTGAGTAGCTGGGATTACAGGTACCCACCACCACACCTGGCTAATTTTTGTATTTTTTGGTAGAGATGGAGTTTTACTATATGTTGGCCAGGCCGGTCTCAAACTCCTGACCGCAGGTGATCCACCCACCTTGGACTCCCAAACTGCTGGGGTTACAGGCCTGAGCTATTGTGCCTGGCCCCATTTTTGTTTGTAATCCTGAACATTTCCAGAGAATGGGAAAAATGGAATCTGAAGGCAGTGCTACCAGGCTCCACTGCAGATTCCACCTGGGGCAGTTTTTTTTTTGTTTTGTTTTTTTAATGATTTCCACAGTTTCAAACTATTTCAATGGAATCATAATTCTGTGCCTGGCATCTATTGCTCACATTATTTTATATGTGTATAAATATATTTTTTTCCCCAAAAGATGTTATTTTTAGAGCAGCATTAGGGTCACAGCAAAACTGAGCAGAAAGTACAGAGATTTCCCACATACCCGCTTACCCACCTCCAGATTCCCCCACTATCAAAATCCCACACCAGATTGGAACATTTGTTACAACGGATGAACCTACATTGACATATCATTAGCACTCTGCGGCAGGTTTGACAACTCCTTCAGGCTCCTTCAGAAGCCAGAGGCAGTTCATGAGCCACATGACAGGATAGGGAATTTGAGACATTTTACATGGACTAAATTGCCTTCCCAGAGACAGGAAGACCAACTTTTCACTATCTTCACAATGACAGGGAGGGCAAGAATAGAAAGAATTGTGCAATGCATGGATGTACACATGCAGGCTGAAAAAATCTGCCAATAATAATAACAATAACAATTTAAGTAAATTTTCACTGACATATGCTCTATGCAAGGTGAAGACGGGCATGATACTATTTAACACTCAAACCAACTCTGTAAGTATGAGGAAACTTAGCATAGAAGCTAAGTAGCTCATCCAAGGACACACAGACAAATAAGTCATGGAGCCCAAATTTGAACCTCTCTAGCTGCCTAGATGGTTCTTAACCGCTAGCTAGAGGGATTATAGGGGCAGTGTCTATGGTTATGTGGTGACCCCAGCGCATGTTAGAACAATCAGTCCCTAGTGTTGAAGCAGATCCTGGTCCTTCTCTCCTCTCACTCTGGCAAAGGACTGCTCACTTTTCCTAGGCCCCAAAGGGACCTTAACATTTTTTGCTGAGTTAAACAATGAAAGAATAATTGTCCATTTGGGAGACGTCCAGCCATGACTACATCTGACAGTGGATGTTAATTAAGGCAGTTTTCGATAATGACTTGCTCAGGGCCTGGGACCTAGGTGTTTTAGGAATATTTATTGGGTTCTTGATCAGGCACGGTAGCTCACGCCTATAATTCCAGCACTTTGGGAGGCCAATTTGGGAAGACTACTTGAGCTCAGGAGTTTGAGGCCAGCCTGAGCAACACAGTGAGACCCTGTCTCTATTTATTAAAAAATAAATTTGTTGGCCAGGCACGGTGGCTCACACCTGTAATCCCAGCACTTTGGGAGGCTGAGGCTGGAGCATCACCTGAGGTCAGGAGTTTGAGACCAGCCTGGCCAACATGGTGAAATCCTGTCTCTACTAAAAATACAAAAAATAAGCCAGATGTGGTGGCGCATGTCTGTAATCCCAGCTACTTGGCAGGCTGAGGCAGGAGAATTGCTTGAATCCGGGAGGCGGAGGTTGCAGTGAGCCGAGATCGCGCCACTGCACTCCAGCACTCCAGCCTGGGCAACAGAGCGAAACTGTCTCAAAATAAAATAAAATAAAATAAACAAAATAAAATAAAATAAATTTGTTTAATATTTAAAAAAGAGCATGGGCTCTGTGTCAGAATACTACTACATGGTCACCTCCTTTGAGAATGAAAAATTTAGAAATAAAAAATACCAGAATATTACATGGATTCCTATCCTGGTGTGGCTATTAAATGGCTAGATTGCCTTGGACATATTGTTAACCTCCGTAAGTCTCAGTATCCCTATCCATAAAATAGAGGTGAAGACAGCACCTAACCTCTAAGGCTGCTGATGTATGGCTGGCATATAGTGAGCTGTCAAGAAAGGTTATATGCCATTACTATTATTATTTATTAAATCGAAAGGGGTGTGTGTCTCAGGGTAGTTGTGAAGGAATGAATAGGAGGAGAGAAATATATCAACAGAAAGGAAAGAATGAGCGTGGTAGACAGGTGACTATCCTGGTCTAAGACAATCCCACAAGGCCATGGAAAGTCAGTAGAAGAAAGTGTTCTTCTGGCATAGGCTCTTGGCCATTCCCTTCCAGCCCTCTACCAACCAGACTCTTTTATACTTACGTATTTCCAGCCCAGAGTGGTTTTGCAGTTTTCACAGTAAATGTCTGCGACTGCATGCAGTCCTGTTAGCAACACTCGCTCCTCTGCAGGCCCACAGCCCACATTAACTCTATGTTGAGGCACAAAAAGAGAGAGTGGGTAGTCAGTGACATGCACATCAGTCATTCAAGCTGAGCTTCCAGCAAAAATTAACTGGGCAAGGCTGCCCCAAAGGGAGCCAACCCTGAGCTGAGCGGGTCTAAACCGATCCCCAAAAGGTGGCCACAGGGAAATAGCTCAGCTGGAAGGAATTTCAGATCTGCAAGTTCTAGTGGAGTGGGTCTACAGAAATAATCTTTATGGTTGAGAGTTTGCTTAAAATTGTAATTTGTCTAACAAATACTTCCAATCTGTGACTTAGGGGGACAAGCTGATAGCCACACTGTGAAGTCCACAGCCATAGGCACAGGTCCTCACAGCTTACTGAGGACTGAACGAAGCTGATGCCACACATGACAGCACACAGTGGTCCTCTTACAGGAATGAGTGATCCCTGGGTGCCGAATAGGCTCTACTCCTTCACAGGGTGCCCAGCTCAAGCCACAGGCCAGATTTCCATTTTTACAGTTTATCAGGCTTATGTGGGCTTCACCTTCCCTTCCCAGGCAAGAGGTGATAAACCTGGTGCCCAGGAATGGCTGAGGGTCCTGGAAACTACACATCTGCCCGAAGTGGGCCTTCCTTCCTCCTTAGGTCCCATGGCAGATCTTGGTGTCTTATTCACCCCTATTCTCTTCCCCAGTGACATATCTCAGATCTCATTATGAGCCCTCCATGTTGAGGCTCTCAGAATCTCCTCAGCTTCTTCCCTGTGGGACTACAGTCCTCTGATGTGCCCTCTGAGGGGAGTGTAGTGAATATATTATTTTTAGCCAGAGATGTTGGCAAGAAATGTTCCCCAAAGGTAACTGACTACCAATTGTGGAGAGTAATGCTCCACAGAGTTTTACTGTGGCAGAGAGGGCAGGGTTCATTGTTTAATCATCATCAAGGATTGCTTTTTCCCAGCCCTTGAATCTGCACCCCACAAGGAATGTACCATTCAGAGGCACTCACACTGAGTTAAAGAGGTATGCTCGTCCTTGACTTCCTTGGAACGACTGAAACGCAAGAAAACAAATCGATAGTTAGACATCCATTTCACCCACCCGTTTGGGAAACCAACCCCAATCGCAATAAGCATGACCTTCCAGGACTGACACAGCAAAAGGGAGTACTGAGCCAGTTAATGGTGCCGCTGGCAGATGGCGTGGGGGTGGAGAAGATGGCAGAATAAACAGAGCCACAAAGCTCGATCTGGCCCACTGGACTGTTTTCACTAGCCCAGGTGAGAAAATAAAAAAAACCCAAACCCACCATGTCATTAAAAACTTCTTCCCTCCTGACATTGCCTGATACAATTAATTCACCTGAGATCATTAATCCACATTGGCATTCCTGGTCCCACTTGATTTCAGCCATCTGTGCTGGCCACAGCTTTCCCAGGCTGGCCCAGGCATGGAAACCACCACAAGCTCTTTTGCTTGGCCTCTTGGTCCAGCCCTAACAAAGGCAGCAAAAAATCCCCAACCCAAGAATAAACTATCCAACCCACACTCATCGCTTGTCATGCCTTCTAGAAGATTCTAAGGACAGTTTACAATCCTAAATGGGAGCATAGGAGCTCTTTTGAGATGTAAGCAACTCGATTTCTGCATCACAGAAACGCTCATGAAGCAGCAATTCCACTTTAACCTCTAGCTTTACACAGGGGTTTCTTTCTTCTGGCTGGAGGGAGGCATGGAACAGGAGAAACAGGAGCCAGAGCCTGCCATGCAATCTGGCATCTGCTTTCATTAACACAGGCCCTGTCCATGTTTTCCCTCTCTGGTTACACTGAGAAGCCTGCCTGACATAAGCCAGCCATGTTCTGCACTGCTGCCTGCATTTTTAATGTGGCCTAACAACGGTGTCCTGAATTTAATATCTTAGTCTGCCCTGAAAAGCAACCAACAAACAAGGAGGTGAGTGGCTAACAGATGACCAGAGGGTAGGTGAGCACCAGACAGGACTCAGATTAGCACGCGAGACAACCATTTTTGTCAGATGTGCAGGACATCAGAGATCAGTGCTACAGGCCAGCGTGAAAGACAAAATTCTTTTTTTTTTTTTTTTGAGATGGAGTCTTGCTCTGTCACCCAGACCAGAATGCAGTGGTGCGATCTCGGCTCACTGCACCTCCATCTCCTGAGTTCAAGCAATTATCCTGCCTCATCAGTGTCCTGTCATGGGTGGCACCCAATGACACCCATGTTCTGGACTCTTCATGTTCCCTGCATTTCCTTTTTCTTTCTTTCCTTTTTCTCCCCCCCAGGATAGAGAGTCTCACTCTGTCACCCAGGCTGGAGTGCAGTGGTGTGACCGTGACTCACTGCAGCCTCCACCTTCTGGGCTCAAGCGATCCTCCTGCCTGAGCCTCCTGAGTAACTGGGACCAAAGGTGCATACCACCATAACCAGCTATTAAAAAAAAAATTATAGAGACAGGGTGTTGCCATGTTACCCAGATTGGTCTTGAACTCCTAGGCTCAAGCAATCCGCCTGCCTCAGCTTTCCAAAGTGTTGGGATTACAGGCGTGAGCCACTGCACCCAGCCTGTTTGCCTTTGTCTTTAGCATCCTGGATTGAAATCATCTGTTTATTTATCTCACTCCCTCAGTAGACTGTGAGCTCCCTGAAGGCATGCGCCATGTCTTCAATCTCTCTCTGAATGCCCAACACATAAGCACGTGCATCTGGCACACAATAGTCATTTATTAAATATTCTGAGTCAATTACATTGTCTCTAGTTTCTTTCGTTTTCTATAAACAACTTTACTGAACTATAAGTGACATAATAAATGGTATATATTTGAAGTGTACTATTGGATGAGTTTTAATATCTGTCTGTATCTGTGAAACCATCACCGCAATCAAGATTAAACTGCCCATCACACCCAAACATCTCCTCATATCCCTCTGAATCCTCCCCTCTGAATCCTCTTACCACTTATAGATCCATAGGTGATTATAGTTTTCTGTCACTATAATTTATATTTTCTGGAATCTTTTTTTGAGACAAGGTCTCACTCTGTCACCCAGGATGGAGTGTAGAGGCACGATCATGGCTCACTGCAGCCTTGATCTCCTGGGTTCAAGTGATCCTTCTGCCTCAACCTCCCGAGTAGCTGGGACTACAGGGGTGCACCACCGTGCCTGGCTAATTTTGGAATTTTTGTAGAGATGGAATCTTGCCATGTTGCCCAAGCTGGTCTCCTGAGCTCAAGTGATCCACCCAATCTGCCTGCCTTGGCCTCCCAAAGTGCTGGGATTACAGATGTGAGTCACCACGTCCAGTCCAGAATTTTATTAAACAAACGAAATGTATTTTCATTTACAGTGTATATGTGTTTGACTTTTTTCACTCAGCACAATTCTTTTAGGATTCATCCATGTTGAACATATCAACAATTTATTCCCTTTTTGCTGCTGAGTAGTATTCTATTCTATGGATATCACAGTTCTTTTTGGTTTGGTTTTAATAAGAGATTTGAACTGGCTGATCTTCAAATCCCCTTCTAGCTTCAAAATTATATTCTCTTATTATTCCATGGTCCTAAGTTACAGGTGATTTGGAATGTCATCCTCTAAGAAACATTTGCTAAGACCTTCAAGTTCAGAGCTTAGAAGAAGGTGGCTATTGAGAACCAAATCCCAGAAGAAAGCAGACAGGAAAGTAACAGGAAGCAACAGAGCTTCACCATTAATGACAGAGAAAGGCTTTGAATAATGCATTCACTTCTTTCTCACCCCTGGATCACTGACTCTCTGCCAGACACAATTAGAAATACAGGGAGACAGGCAACACTGTGAGACTTACCAGGGCAGCGGTATCCCAGCCAGGTGTGCAAGACAATCCCCCAGACAACCCTTTTCTCCAGGGCAGTGAGGAAACACTAGCTCATTTTATATATTTTATCTTTAAAAAATAAGTTTTGCTAAACGGTTACAATACATGGATTGCCACTAGGCCTTCCCTGGACTGGCATGTGTCCTGTACGTATAGGTATCTGGAAGGAAGGGGCTCCACTGTGGGGGTCAGAGGTGACAAAGGTGTTCTTCTGCCTGTGCTGTCAGCATACTGTGAATACTATTGTTTCTGTGAATAAGGCTAATCTTATTTTTTTGAAAAACAAGATCATTAAATAACAGGATCTTTGCAATGTTTTGCATATGAGATGGAGTACTACAAAGGGGTCCACTTATGGTAAAGTACCTGAACCCTGTGCTATAGAGAGAACTGGCTTTTGTCAGTATTTTTACCTTATATTATTTTTGTGGCTAAAAAAATGATATGCTTGTACAAAAATTAATTTGAAATGGAGGATATTCAGAAGAAAATCTCTGTGACCTTGTGTTAGAAGAGAGTTCTTAGATACATCAGAAACACAACCTATAAAAGAGAAAAAAACTGATACACTGAACTTCATCAGAATCAGTCCACATCAAAATGGTTAAATATTTTTTCTTTAACTGACAAAACCAAGTGTTGGCATGAATATGTAGCAACTGGAACTCTCAAACATTGCAGAACAGTACAGCAACTTTGGAAATGAGGCTGGCAATTTCACTTACCCACGTGAAACGAAAGCCTATGTTCACACAAAAACCTGTATGAGAGTGTTTTTAACAGCTTAATTCATAATCGCCCCAAACTGGAAACAACCTAAATGTCTCAAATGGTAACTGGGTAAGTAGACTGGTATATCCATATAATACTATTCTGTAATAAAGAGGAACAAACTATTGATATACAGAACAACATGGATGAATTTGAAACACATTACGCTAAGAAGATTGGTAAAAAGAATGTTTAACTGTAAGAGTTAGTAAGAGAGATGGAATTGATCTGTTATCTTGGTAACAGAAGAACGGTACTCTTAGGCCCTATAACAAAAGAAAGTCTTATAATCACTATTAGACTATATATTTATAAGACTATAAAACTAAATAGACTGTAAGACGCCCAGGTCCTAAGACTTATCTATGTTAAAACTCATATGACTCATATTCAAAGAGTGAATTTTACTGTATGTAAATTTAAAATTTTTTAAATTAATAAATTCGTAAAATAATAAGTCATTTCTAAAATCTATGCCTGCACACTCTATTCCTGTATCTGTATAATTAGGAATTGTAAGCAATTCCCTAATCTATTTAAAACTATTCCAAACATAGAGTTTCAGAGGGGTTTGAACCCTTGTTCATTTTCATATTTTTTAATTCTTTTTTAAAAATTATGTTTATGAAGGATAATTCTGAAATATAGTAAAAATACTTTTCAGTGCTAGGTGTGATGGCTCATGCCTATAATCCCAGCACTATGGGAGGCCGAGGCAGGAGGACCACTTGAGGTCAGGAGTTTGAGACCAGTTGGTCAACACAGTGAGACCTCATCTTTACAGAAAAAACCCAAAACCAAAACCAAAAAACCACTTTTCTTGAGAGTTTTCAAGAACAACCCTCTCATTAGAATAGGTCTTTTGAATTACTGTATCAGAAAGTGATCAACCAAGATTTTTTTAAAGAAGTATATCCAATCACATATACCTTCAGTAAAATTTAAAACAATTTTATAATTATTTTCTTTCATCCATTTAAATTATATAAATGTTCATTAAAAATTGTATGCTTACAATGTACATATTACATGGCAGCACACATACGTAATTAATAAATAAGTATATACATATTAGGAGTTTATGCTTAAATATTTTACTGATAGGGGTATGTCATTTTAGAAGTGTGAAGGCCAATGTTCTGGGGGTTCCTGTCTGCTTCCAGGCTGGTCCTAAGAGTCACTTTCTCTGGCCTGACACAGATTAGAATTCCTAGAGAGAGTTGGGGTGGGGGAGGGCACGTGGCAGAGCAGAGAAATGCCAGCGAGGCCCCGAGGCACCTCCAATGGCTTCCTCCAGGCCTGGTTTGAGAGAGTCTGCTGGGAGAGGCCCACACGTACAAAGGGTACTGAACCCCCTCTCTCAGGGCTGTCCTGGTGGCCATAGCCACTCAGGTTCCCGTGA